ATTGCTAAGCCCTCATCCCTGTCGATATATACTTCCCATTCAGAAGTGTGGTGTTTGTGTAGAGAAAGTCAACATCTCCATCAGATTATCTATTGGAATACTGGTCCGTTCTTCTAGGGATGAGTCAGCAATGGCGAGTATATAAAAAAGACACTGGGGAGCTAATTTATATGCGGGAAATGATGCAATGTGCCCTTTTCTCTGCAATATAAGAAATTAGATATTGCATAACTGTTCAGAAAACTCCTCTAATTCTTGACAAAATCCAAAGAAGTTTCTGTAATATAATCGATCCTGGCCAGTCATCACGACTTCCGTGGCTTCCCTCTGTCTTTTCTACAAATATTTTCATTGCAACTGCTCTGATCAGCTATTTTTTTACCTGGTGCCCCGAATATATGAATTTAGATGTGCTACTGGATTGGATTCTACGTTCCACTCTGGTTATGTTGGAATAGCTAAATGCAACCGCCACTTCTACTCTAAATATTTTCTTTTCTCACACTTCCCAATTGTGTAACTCACGTCTGTTTACTTTTGTGGAAAAATAAGTGAAATTACCAGCGTTTATGGGGCGTGTGTCCAACGTGGAATCTGATTAGATGACGGATTCTGGTTTATCAAATCGAGGCACTGATTTTGTAGTCTTTTACTAGAAAGGGTGGGATGCGTAGTCTGCTCTTGCTATTTAAGTCTGCCATCGCTTCCTTTTTATCGATGTTTTATCTTTTAGAAGGACATTACGCGAACATTTTGCGCGCTCTTCTCTCGGTTATTTGATCCCTTTTAAAATTGGGTCGCGAGGCTAGGCGGGGTTTCGCAACACTTGCTGCCTGACCGACTTTGATTGCCCTTATGTCGAAGAAATTTTCGACACTTGCTTCCCTGATAACGACAATATTTAAAAAAATTAATCGTCAACTGTTTTCTTGAATCCCGTTCATCTTTGGAACTTTCCCCAATCCTCCCCATTCTCAGTATTTTTTCTTTCATTTTCCTTCCCTGTAGATACCTGCATACTAGCAGCATTACCGTCTTGCCTTAGAGTGAAATGATGAAAAAAAATCCAGAAACATCTCTTTTTAGATAATGGAAGATATCTTTAGCTATTCGTATACATCTTCGTATTTCTGTGTCCTATTTTATGATGCTACACTATATGGATAGATGTATTTCTTTACTTGCTTGATTTTGACATCTCCCATATGTAGGTAGTAGATTGCGGACCAGCATGCATTGTGCCTTCTTATAGTCAAGAATTGGTCTTTTTTTTTCTTTCCATTACTCACACAATCATTTTCCCTTTATTTCTGAGCCTGCCGCAATTGACGGGAAAATTAAAAGAAAAACGGTACAGAATATCACAAAACTATAAACAGAATTAAATTGATATATATTAAATGGCTTAGAAGTTAGATCAAAACAAAATACCGGGACAGTTGAGCTAGAATTATACCAAATTGAATAGTCTCCAATGGCTTCCATTGTAACGAATGCAGCGGATAGCCGTTGTTTGTCCAAGGAAAGATTTCCCACTCGTCCATCGCAAATGACGGCGGTTTATACGCATTTGGCTTTAATCTATAAAAAGCTGTCACCCGTTTAGGATAGACACAAACAATATCTCATTATTCAGCGTATTAATATTTCAAGGCTGACTTGATGTGAAATTTAGATCCGATGAATAATAAATGCGCTTGCCTGTTCACCTGTACAAGACCAGTTAGGTACATGACTATAATTGAATTGAGTCACTTCAATAACATATATTTCTGTAGGTTGTTCTATCTTTCTTTGTCTCTGTCTGTCTGTCTAGATATCTATCTATTACATCGTTTCCATACCTATCTATCTATCTATCTATCTCATTTTCCATATCTATCTATCTATCTATCTATCTATCTATCTATCTATATATATATATATATATATATATATATATATATATATATATATCATTTTCCATATCTATCTATCTATATATATATATATATATATATATATATATATATATCATTTTCCATATATCTATCTATCTATCTATCTATATATATATATATATATATATATCATTTTCCATATCTATCTATCTATCTATCTATATATATATATATATATATATATATCATTTCCATATCTATCTATCTATATATATATATATATATATATATATATATATATATATATATATATATATATCATTTTCCATGTCTATCTATCTATCTATCTATCTATTCATTTGAAATTGTTCAAACTGGACCTGACTCGTCAAAAACAGTATTTCTTCATCATCTCAAACCACAGAGAAATCTTGTCCTTGGAATTCTATCACTATACCTCTCTCTCTCTCTCTCTCTCTCTCTCTCTCTCTCTCTCCCTCCCTCCATCTATCTATCTATATGTCTGTCTCATTCTTTCCATATCTAACTATCTAGCTACCTAACAGATTATATCAGATTATTCTCGAATGAGAAAGAAAGCAAGTACATTTTAACTCCAATAAATGTTTTAAATATCTTATTTGAAATGTATCTAATATTCATTTGGAAATTGTTTACGTCGGACATGATTCGTCAAACACAATGTATTTTCCTCGATTCAAAACCACAGCGAAAGCCTGTCCTTGGAGATCTATCTATCGATCTATCTCATCCTTTATATATCTAGCTAGATAGCTAAGAAAGGGGATATGCAAAATATTTTCTGTGAAGTTGATTCTAAAAGAATGTTTATCATTGATTTATTTCAATTTGAAAAGAAAATAATACTGAAATAAAAAATATCATTTAAAAGTGTAGTTCGGTGTTGAAGATCGTTTATTTCTTCGTTTTGTTTTATCCACGCATATTCCTCTGCAAGCACACACACACACACATATATATATATATATATATATATATATATATATATATATATATATATATATATATTTGGTTTTATTGATGTGAGTTTGTGACCCTGGGTTTCATGCTTTTGCGATCGTCAGACAAACTGATTATTTTTGTTTAAATTTGGGGTTTATGTTGATTGCGTGTATTGGTGTTATTATAGAAGTGAGGTGGGGGAATCGTCGTCGTGATGTCACTCATGCTAACGCAAACGTAGATGCATGTCCGTACGCCCGATGAGGTACGCATACACACATACACACGTACACACTCGCTCGCCCACCGGGGCTCATACATATATAAACATATGCGGACAATTTCGGATTTGTCATATGTATGTATATGGGTGGTGTTGTGTCTATACATACGCATTTGTATGTTGAAATTCAAAGATTGGAAGTGTAGCGAAAATTTCTCGTGAATGTCCCCTGAATGTATACATGTCAACAATCAGGGCATTTTTCTATTTTTCCACTGAATAATATTTCCTCGCATGTATGTATATACGTGTGGTGGGGTCTGTGTAAAATTATGATATGTAAAAATTACTAAAATGGACAAAGTCCGAAAGTTATTTTAAGACATGTTTATGTTTATACATTATTTTTATAGATACAAATAGGATAGAGGTTCGATTCCTGTCGAAGGACGAATATTTTCTATGAAAATTTCTCGGACATTCAGTTCGATAAATGTTGTTTAATACTGCTTATTATAAACAGAATTTACTTAAATATTTGTATCTATAAAAAAATGTATAAAATACACATACACACATATGTACACACACACACACACACACACACATATATATATATATATATATATATATATGTGTGTACGTATGTGTGCGTGTGGATAAGTATGTAATTATTGTACCGATTACGAAATACCAATTACAAATAAAATTAAATTATTCAAAACATTGTCTTT